GAGGATGTCTCCAGCGTAACGGGCTGGACCACCTCGCGCGCGGCATCTCGGACCCCAGAGTTGCGACGATGTCTCGGGCGAAACGTGCTGCGAGGAAGTCTCAGGCGAAACGGGCCGGACCACCTCGAGCGCGGCGTCTCAGAGCTCCGAGTTGCGGGGGCCTCCTGGTGCCTCCTGGGGCCTCCTGGGGACCTCCTGGAGCTTCCTCCTGGGCCTCCTGTGGCCTCATGAACTCCACCTGAGGTTTCCTGAAGCATCTTGGGGCTCCCAGGGGGGATATCTAACCTGTGGCCGTTTGGGCCTCTCCAAATACAGGGGGGGCCACAGGAGCAGGAAAAATCAACGAATCGACACCGGATGTGTATTAACTTGACACGTTCTGATAAGCGGCCTCCTGGGGCCTCCTGGGAGCCTCCTGGGAATCTCCTGGAGACCCCTGGGGCCTGTCCTGGGCGTCCTGCGGCCTCCTGGTGCCTCCTGGGCCTCCTGGGGACCTCCTGGAGCTTCCTCCTGGGCCTCCTGTGGCCTCCTGAACTCCACCTGAGGTTTCCTGAAGCATCTTGGGGCTCCCAGGGGGGATATCTAACCTGTGGCCGCTTGGGCCTCTCCAAATGGAGGGGGGGCACAAGAGCAGGAAAAATCAACGAATCGACACCGGATGTGTATTAACTTGACACGTTCTGATAGAGGGCCTCCTGGGGCCTCCTGGGAATCTCCTGGGGGCCCCTGGGGCCTGTCCTGGGCGTCCTGCGGCCTCCTGGACCTCTCTGGGGCCTCCTGAGGCTCGCAGGGTCCCATGGAGGATATGTAACATGTGGCCTTCTGGGCCCCCAGGCTGGACCACCTCTTGCGCAGCATCTGAGAGCTCAGAGTTGCGAGAATATCTTGTGCGAAACAGGCCGGACCACCTTGCGCACGGCATCTCAGATCTCAGAGTTGCAAGGATTTCTCAGGCGAGACGGGCCGGACCACCTCGCGCAGGGCATCTCAGAGCTCAGAAGTTCGAGGATGTCTCAGGCGAAACGGGCCGGACCACCTCGCGCGCGGCATCGGGGAGATCAGAGTTTCGAGGATGTCTCAGGCGAAACGGGCCGGACCACCTCGCGCGCGGCATCTTGGAGCTCAGAGTTGCGAGGATGTCTCAGGCGAAACGGCCCGGACCACCTCTCGCGCGGCATCTGGGAGCTCAGAGTTTCGAGGATGTCTCAAGCGAAACGGCCCGGACCACCTCTCGCGCGGCCTCTCAGAGCTCAGATTTAGGAGGATGTCTCAGGCGAAACGCTCAATCCCGGACAACTCAGAAACGAGAGTTGTGAGGATGTCTCAGGCGAAACGGGCCGGACCACCACATTTGTTTGAGGATGTCTCTGCTTAGCTTTCCCTCGGCCGGAATTAGCTTCTATCACAACAGCACCCCGTTCAGCAAGCTGTTTGGGGAAAAAGTTATTGTTGATCCCCCCTCGTGTGACCGTTGCACTTTTTCAATTGAAGTGCTTCCCCTGGGGCTCGCACCCAGTTCTTTACCAGGGAAAGTCACTGGGCTCAAACTGGGTTGTTGGCCTCCGATGTACAACGGCTCCCGCCTGAAACTTCCTGACCAGGTATTCCCAAATCGAGCTCTCGCGCGGGACTTCCTCACAATTCATGTGCGCATCGCGCTCTCGCGCTGGACTTCCTCGCAGTTTATTCAGACGATACGCCCTCGGCGCTCAGGAATCGCGCTCTCGCTTTGGCTTTCCTCACGATTTTCTTGGAAATCGTGCTATCGCTCGAGACTTCCTCACGATTCATGCAGGACCCACGCTTCAGCAACCAGCCTGCTCGACCTGGTCGCCTGGGCCCGCCTTCCCGACCTGCCCGCGATGGGTCTGCCCACCCGATTTGCCCGTCTGGTTGTACCACTTGTTTTCTGTTCCTTGCCCGCCTCCTGCCCGCCTCCTGCTAATTCCTCTCGTTCTCCATTATTCTCCCTCCCCCTTCCACCCGTCCTCTCTTCCCTTGTTTTAGGGGCTGCATTATTTGCACGTGGCAGGTAAGGAAGATATGCCCTCAAGGGGATACGACCGAAGACGACGAGGGCGGGTACCGAGGGTTCGGGATATACGTATTGGTTGGCACGTGAGCAGATAGGAGCGAACAGTATCAACATGGTTTTTGTTATTGAAATCTGACGACTGAATGGTAATTGTTGTTGACCCCCGCCTTCTGGTGCCCATCTAGTATTCAATTGAAGTGTTTTCCCCGGGGCTCGCACCCTGTTTTTCTTTCCGGGAAGTCACTGGGCTCAAATTGCGCCCCTGGCCCCCGGATTAGAACAACAACGGCTCCCGCTTGAGACTTCCTGCCTATTTAGCCAGGACCCCTACTCCCCCATGAGACTTCCCCGCAGTTTGCTCAGGAATCGCGCTCTCGCTTCGGACTTCCTTACAACTTAATCAGGAATCGCTCTCTCGGCGCTCTAGGGTCGCGCTCTCGTTGGAGACTTGCTTGCAATTTACTCAAGAATCGCGCTCTTGCGTTGGAGCTCCCTGCAATTTACTTAAGCGCCGTTTTCCCGCCCACTTGGGGGGTCCGCCGAAACCTCGACGGACCCCCCAAGTGGGCGGCAATGCGGCGGCCGCTTGGCGGCAACGTGGCGAAAGTTCGGCGGACCCACCCAGCGCACGAGGCGGCCACGAGGCGGCCACCGGCGGCAACGTGGAGAATCCTCGCCGTACCCAGCCAATTCTTTATCGAGAGAAGTGGAATCCCAAAGTTCAGGCACAGTCTTGGATATAATATCCAGCATTGTCCCCTTCCATTGATCTCATAGATCTACATATATATATATACACATATATCGACATGTGTGCATGTATACATATATATATATATACATATGTATGTATGGAGCGAGCCCCCCCTCCCCCCGTTGGATAGGTATGCCGGTGAGCCTCGCGAATGGTATCGCTTCCCCCCCTCCCCCGGTGGTGGTGGCTTTGTGGGCGTGGCGTGGTGGAGGGCGCCGGTGCCTCCCACCCTGTGGGTGTGGGGTGGTTCATCGTCGTCGTCGTCTTCCGACGGCGTCGGCGGCGGCGTCGGCGTCAGCGTGGGCGTGGGCGTCGGCGTGGGCGTGGGCGTCGGCGTCGGCGTCGGCGTCGTCGTCGGCGTCCCCACATCCCATGGGAGGGGGCTGTGGATCCCTGGGGCCCGCCCCATCTGGGGGTTTGGGCTGTGAAACCTCGACCCCGGGTCATATGTAGATGTACACATACAAATGTACATACACACATCCACCAATACACACATATACACCTGTACACAATAAGATACATACATGCATATGAGTGCGGATGCTGTTGCCAAAAGACGCCCAGCCAATCGCGACAATCTGATAGCTTCCCCCCTTCACCTTGTGCCTTCCTGTCTCCCTCCCTCTCGTCCTCCGCCTCCTCCATTATCTTCTTGCTCTCCTCCGTGTACCCCGCCTCTGCTCCTCTTTCCCCTCCTCCTCCTCCTCCTCCTCCTGCTCTTCCTCCTCCTCCTTCTCCCCCTCTTCCCCCTCCTCCCCCTCCTCCTCCCTAGCCATTTTGGCTCAGGCCGCGGTGACGCCTCCGCGATTTTCGGTACGCCCCTCCCGGCCGCCAGGCGGGCGTTGCGTAACGGGGGGGGGGGGGGGCGATCCATGGGGGGTAGAGAAAGTGGGATCGGCGTCACCCCGACATGTTTCTACTATATGTGCGTCGCCCCCCCAGGGGCGACGCGCGCACCGAGAAATCTTCTGATATATTGCGTCGTGGCGGGCGCTTTCTGGCCACACCGTTCGGGAAACGATATACTACAATACGGGTATACTATATGTTCGGGTCGGACGCGCGACTCCAAAGAGGACATATAGTACTAATATGTCTTTGTGCCTCCCATGGGGCCCACAAGAGGCGCGACGTTTCTCCCCCTCTTTGATCGCCCCTTTCGGCGACGAGCGTAACTGGCGCTGTCTCGCCGAGAATGTCGCGCTCGATGCTGCCAAACATTGGCTTCAAGCGAAGCCGTAAACTCGGCTTTTGCATTGTACCTTCTTCCTGGCGGTGCCGATGTCTCCGCGCTGGACGGCGTTGGGCTCCTCTCTCTGTCGTTACGCAACGCCCAGGCCAAACAACCCAAGCTCGGCGGCGAGCGAGGGGGGGAAGTGAGAAGGAGAAGGCCTTCTCAGAAGGCCCAGACGTCCCGCAGCCTTCGGAGAGGGTTCCTAAGCCTCCTCCGGAAGACAAAAACAAGCATATCTCAGAAGGCGCGAGGGCTCCTGAGAAGTCCCTCGCCTTCCGAGAAGGCCTTCTCCTTGTCACTTTCCCCCCCTCGCTCGCCGCTCGTTCCCCGCCCTCGCTCTCATGTTCTAAGAGCATGTCGCTTGTGCTCTTGGAACACGCTTGGGTTCGGAGAGCATGTCGTGGTAGGCCTACGGGAATGCCGGGACGGTCGGTAACTGCTCAGGTCTTGGGAATCCCGAAACGGTGCGGTGACAGACCGTGCGGTGACCTCGAAATCCCCCAAGACCTCGCACGGTCCGTCACCGCACGGTCTTGGGACCCCGGAGGCCCCAGTCGCCCGAGACGTCCTCGAAAACGACCCGAGGCCCAAGACCGTGCGGTGACCCCGGATCCCCACCGACTCACCGCACGGTGTGGTCACCACCCCGCTTTGGGGGCCCCCCACCAGCAACAAATGTTGTCCCAAACCAACAACGGCCGCTGTTGGGCAGGCGGCCTTCTGTCTCAGGTGGACACAGGCCGCGGCGGCGCGGACAGCGAGTCTGGTTCAAAATGAACAGGATTTGCTGTTAGGCATTGTACCCAGTATTTTCCGTACCCATTTCGTTCGTGCAGACCCTTACCCATCGGTCGTTGAAAGTAGGTATTTTTGGATTCCCAGAGTGCAATCTACTTTCAGCGCCTTCCTACTTCAAGAGTCGAGTGGTTTTCCCTCCTCCCTCCTCTTCAGGCGGCGTGCGGAAACCCAATCTATCTCCAACGCCTTCCTACTTCATGTTCCTGCCTACTTCTCCCGACCGATGGGTACGCAGGGGCGGGGGGATGGGGCACCGCCCCCCCTCCAGCCCGGCCCGCCGCCCATGCGCCGCCGGGCCCAGCCCCGCCGTCGTCGTCGTCGTCGTCGTCGTCGTCGTCGTCGTCGTCGTCGTCGTCGTCGTTCATTCGTTCGTTCGTTCGTTCGTTCGTTCGTTCGTTCGCTCGTGCAGACCCTTGCGCACCGCCCAGCCCGGACCGCCCAGGCCTCCTGGAGCCATGGCCCCCCGGACCGCCGCCCGCCGCCCCGGCCTCGCGGCCTCCCTGCTCCTCGGGCTCGCCGCCGCCCTCGCCGTGCGCACCGCAGGCCGGGCCCGTCGCCGTCGCCGCCGCCGTCGCCGTCGGCATCGCCGTCGGCGCCGTCGGCGTCGCCGTCGTCGGCGTCGTCGTCGGCGTCGTCGCCCCTGCCGCCGCCGCCGCCGCCGCCGCCCTCGCCGCGCGCACCGCAGGCTGCTTCCTCCCCGCGCCCCGGCTGCCGCACCCGACCGGCACCGCCGCGGCGGCCGGCGAGCTGACAGGCGGGGTGTCACCAGCTCCTCCTCCTCCTCCTCCTCCTCCTCCTCCTCCTCCTCCTCCTCCTTCTCCTCCCCCTCCTCCTCCTCCTCCTCCCCCTCCTCCTCCTCCCCCTCCTCCTTCTCCTCCTCCTCCTCCTCCTCCTCCTCCTCAAGTGCCCCTGTGGCCCAGGCTGCAAGCAGTGGCGAAGCGTCCTGGCCCAGGCTGCAAGCAGTGGCGCAGCGTCCTGGCTCGCCTTGAGACCCACCGACGGAGGTTCTAAGAGCCTCTTGTGGTTTGCACGAAACGTTCTCAGAACATGTCTGGCTTAGTCTGAGACGTCTTGTTTTAACACATCGGGTTGATGTTATTAAACTGTTGTCTTTGTTATTAGTGCACTTGTTGGTTCTAAGAACATCTCATGGTAGGCCTATAAGAAGGCCGGGACGGTTCGTCCCTGCTCAAAGGCTGCCCCCATAATCTCCAGGGAGGCCCAGAAGGCCCCATGGGGCTTCAAGACTGAGCGAAAAGCTGGGGGCACCTTGGGCCAGAGGCACCTTGAGCAACCCCCGAGCAGCCGCCGCCGCGCCCGCGCTCGCCAACGAGGGCGCCGAGACGGCGCCCGAGGGCTTCCTGAATTTTGGCAAGGTCCCGCTGGGGGGCGGCTTCGAGCTCAACCTCGACATCCCGGAGACCGGCATCGTCAACATCGCCGTGCTCATCGCAGGCCTCCTCTACTTGCTGGGGCCTCTCCTCAGCGAGTCGATGGCCACGCGCGAGAAGGAGATCCAGGGCGACATCGACGACGCCATCGCCAAGTTCAACGAGGCGACGAGTCGCCTGGCAGAGGCGGAAAAGGCACAGGCGCAGGCCAACGAGGTGATTGCGGAGATCAACGCGAGCATCGACAAGGATCGGCGGCGCGCCCGTGTGGTCACCACCCACCAAACCACCCCAACCCGACCCGAAGGCTCAGATTTACCCTCGATTTCTAGTGGGGGGGGGTCCGGGAACATCGAAAAAACACACAGGGAGACCATACCCCCCCCCAACCCGAAATTTGGGTCTTCGGGTTGGGTTAGGGCGGTCTGGTAGGTAGTAGTCATGTGGGGGGGGAGGCAGAGGGGGCCGCCTGTGGCTTCCGAGAAGGCTCAGCAGACATTTCAGCAGGCGCGAGGACTTCCGTGAAGTCCCGCCGCTTTCTGAGGAGGCTTAGGTCGGGCCAGGTCTTTCTACAGGAGGAAGATTCAAGAATAGTGGAAAATAGTCTGGGCACGATTGTTGTTTTTTTGTTGTTTTTGATAATTTGTGATTATTGGTGGGGACTATTTTCAGTTTTCTTCGAAAATCCGCCTGTAGGTGGACATTCAGGAGGGGAAAAAGTCACACCCACAGACGCATTACTCGCCGATTCCCCAGAAAATGTGCTGGGACATGTGGGAAGTGTGGGGGGGGGGGGTAGGGCCAAACCCAGAAGGTTTTGGAAAGTATAGGGGGATCTTGTTGTTCGTGTCTATGTATTTGTGTGTCCCAGGGCCCCTTTCAGACATGCCCGACCCTGCGAGAAGGCCCGCCCCCTCTGAGCCTACCCCGCTGGGCGCGCCGCGCGGGAGGACAAGCGCGAGTTCGAGGCCACGCTGAAGGCTCGAGCAGCGGCGAAGCGTCCCGGCGTGCCTATAGCCCTACCAAAACAAGGTCCCAAGAACCTCCTCGTGGTTCCCACGAGCCGTTCCCAGAACTTTGCTGGCGGGGTCCTTTCTGTTTTGCCACGTCGGGTGTTTACGTTCTGAGAGCATCGCTTCTGCTCTTGGAGCATGTTTGTCACCACCTACCAAACCACCCCAACCCAACCCGAAGGCCTCAATTTGCCCTCCATTTCCAGTGTGGGGGGGGGGGGGGTCGGGGAACGTTGAAAAAACACATGGAACCCGTACCCCCCCCCCCAACCCGAAATTCGGGTCAAATTCGGGTCTTCGGGTTGGGTTGGGGTGGTCTGGTAGGTAGTCAGTTTGGGGTTCTGAGGGCATGCCGTGCGGCAGGCCTGCAGGCATGCCGGGACGGCCGGCCCCTGCCCGAGAAGGCCGGCATGGAGAGCACGCTCGCCCGGCAGGAGGCGGCCGCCGAGCAGGCCCTCCAGGCAGGGCTCGCCTCGACTCCTCCGGCTCGGTGCGGCCTCGACGTCGACGGCTTCCGGCTCCGACTCGGTTCGGCTGTGGGATTCCGATCCTCACCACCCACCGAACCACCCCAACCCAACCCGAAGGCCTCAATTTGCCCTCCATTTCCAGTAGGGGGGGGGGGTCGGGGAACATAGAAAAAACACCTAGAACCCGCACTCCCCCCAACCCGAAAGTCGGGTCAACTTCGGGTCTTCGGGTTGGGTTGGGGTGGTCTGGTAGGGATTCCGATCCGGGCTCCGACCTCTCACTGCGAGGCACAACGGAGCTGCCGATCTCCGCCGAGGCGACTCGCCCCGATCCGGCTCTGCAGGTTGCCGCCGATGCGACCGGTTTCGACCGCCGATCCGGCCCGTCGAGCCGATGCTGGGCTCTCCCGTCAAGGACCTGGAGGCGGGCGCGGCGAGCCGCGTCGAGTCCTACATCCCGGGGGAGGGAAAAACGCCACAGACATAGGCGTTTGGCGCTCCGCGCGGACTTCCTGGATCTGCGCTGGGGTCCCCTGGCGGCGCTTCTGCGCAGATCCAAGACCGCCGCGCGGAGCGCCCAAAGTTGATGCTGATGGCGTTGTTTCTTCTTCTAACGTCAGCACCACGGCGATCGAGCGTGGGATGAAGGAGCTGAAGGCCATGGAGGACAGCAAGAAGGATAAGTACATGGCGATGGCGATCGAGGAGCTGTGAGGTCTGGCCCGGCGTGGGTCCCGGCCCCCCGCCACGGCGCAGCCAGGGTTTACAGCAAAAAGCTCCTCCTTATCCTCCTCCTCCTCCACTTCCTCCTCCTCCTTATCCTCCTCCTCCTCCTCCTCCTCCTCCTCCTCCTCCTACTCCTCCTCCTCCTCCTCCTCCTCCTCCCGCAACAGCTACACCATGCGAGCACTTTTGGCCTCCTCCTCCCCGACGACGCCCCGAGTGTGGCGCGCCCCCCCGTCCGCGCGGCGCTCTCTCTGCACAGGACGGGTCCGAGCCGGTGCTTCTTGCACGCTTGCCCCTTCGAGCGTCGTCGGACCCCTCCGGCTGGCGCGCCCGCTGCCGCGCGGGCCTCGCGTTCGCATCGCGGCTCTGCTCCTGACCCGGCGCGGGGGCAGCCTCCCAGAGTGGTGCCCTCGCCCCAGCGCGGGCCGCCCTCGTGAGCCCGAGGCCTTCCGCGTCGTTGGCTCCTCACTCCTGCCCCCTCGAAGAAGGAAAAACGCCACAAGCATACCCTTTTGGCGCTTCGCGCGGGCTTCTCGGAACCGCGCTGGGGCCCCCTGGCGGCGGCGCCAAGAGTCTATGTTTATGGCGTTGTTTCGTTTTGTTATCCCCCCCTCCGCTCTCCCCTGGTCCTCCTCCTCCATCTCCTTCCTGTTCCTCATCGTCATCCTCCCTCCTCCTTCTTCTCCTCTTCCTCCTCCTCCTGCTTCTTCTATTCTCTGTGAGCAAGCTCCTGCTGTCTCCGCAGCTTCTCTGCCCAAGTGCCCCCCCGTCGGCCGCGCGTGCGGACGCCTTATGCAGGCGGTCGCACAAGCGGCTCTCGGGGGCGCTGGGGAGATCTTCTTCAGGGGGCTGCGGGCCGCGCTCTACGAGCGGTTCGTGTCTGCCCCCCTCTCTGTGCTTCAGGACCAAGGGCCTCCTGCGCCTGCCTGGTCCATCCAGCAGGCGGACTCGTCCGAGGGTGAGGGGGCTTACTGCCCCCTCCCTTCGGCGGGTTCCGCCTGCCCCACCGTCTGCCTCGGGCTGGCGGTGGATCTGAGCGGCGGGGTCTCTCCCTGGCTGCTCAGCACGGTCGTCGCCCTCCTTTGGGTGACGGCCGCGTGCAGCGCCTGCGCAGGCTGCTGCTTCGGGCTGCTGGGCCCGTACGTGTGGCGGAGGCTCAGGGCCTCCGCCTGGCCGCGCGGTGCGGTTCCTGCTTCCCCTGAGCAGGACCGCCGTGCGGCGCGAGCGCTGGCTTACGGGGTTCCGCCTCGGCCTCGAGCGCTCGAGCGGGCAGGCGCCCAGCATTCGGGCGGCAGTTCCCACGACAGCGCCCATTGATGGCTGAGCTGCCACCAGTTGGCGGAGGGCCTCTATGGCCCGAGCTCTACCCATTCGCGGCTCCCACGGCTCGCGATTACGCACGATGGCGCCTAGACGACGGCGACACCAGCTGGGCAGCTATCCCCCTCGCGTCTCGAGAAGGGGGCATCCTTCTGGCCCTGCCTGGCGCCTTTCGCTCTACGGCGGAGCTCGTGGCTGCCGAGGCGGATGGCTTTGCAGGAATGATAGGCCCTTTCCAGCTAGTGGACGTCCAGCTCCAGGGGGCCGCTTCACGGCCGCTCGCCACTACTGCATCCGTCCTCGTCGTAGACATCGAGGTTGCAGAGCTCGAGCTCGAGTCGCTTTACCCTCTAGAGGTCGGGGAGGACGCAGTCATCGTTCCCTTCGCCGAGGTGCGGGGCCGCGTCTATTGGCCACATCCTTCGGGGGTTCGGGTGCTTCGCGAGGGCTACGCACGCTTGCACGGCGCCCCGCCTACTGCAGGAGAAGAGCCGCTCCCAGGGGCCGATCGGGCTACTCCCTATCACTCTGCCGACGAGATGGAGGAACCCGAGGGGTTCGCGGCCGACGGGGAAGCCGACCGCACGGCCCCAAGTGCGCGAGCTCCCGCGGACGCTGGAGCGCCGCGCGGCCCGCCCGCGAAGCGCGCGGGCACCGCCGCGCCGCCACGGGTTGCGGGTCCCGCTCCGATCGCTCCTGGTGCCCCTGCGGCGTCTCTGGACGACGGGGCTCCTATGACCCGTGCCGAAGTAGCTGCCGAAATGCGCGCCTTGCTTGCAGCCCACGCGGCCTCCACGATGGTCGGCAGACCCGAGCCGCTGGGCCCCGCGCCGGCTGCCCGGAGCGATCGGCCCGAGGTGCCTCAGCTTTTCAGCGACGAAGCGGTGCGCCTCGGGCTGGATCCTGCGGGGATCGAGGCCGTCCTGTCTCACGCGCCCGTGGCCCCACAGCGGGTCTCCGCGCGTCCCAAGGGTCCGACCTCCGCGCTGGTCTCGGCGTGGGAAAAGGCGCGCTCTCTTGCTGTCCCTCGGGCCCCTTCGTCCGGTTTCGGAGCGATGGGCCCCCCGCCGCCACCTGGGCTAGCCCATCCCGCTGCGGCCGACGGCTTTGCCGAGGCGGGCGGCGCCGACGGGTCAGAGCCGCCCCATGCGGCCAATCCGACGGACTTCAGCCTCATGCTACAGTGCCTGCACCAGTCCCTCCTATTGCAGCAGGGGCGGGGCCATCGCCCAACCGTCCATCCGCTTCTGGGGACCCTGAGCGACTCAGCTCAAATTCCGCCCACGAGCTCGGGCGACCCCGCGCCCGCATCGGCCCAGATGGGGGGCATTGCTCGGAGGCGCGAGTGGCAGCAAGCGCTGCTACAGCACGGCCCCGATGTGCGAGGACTGATGAAGGAGAATTTGGCCCGTGTCCTGGGCGTGGAAGTCAGCGCCGTGACCCCCATGGCCATGCATCAGTATTTTCGGGAGCACAGTCCCTTGGGGGCTCAGCCGACGACGCACGAGTTGTTGACGCATTTCGCCTTCCTCAGCGCCGAGCTGTGGCGGGCCTGCGAAGAGGGCAACCCCGAGAGAGTCCAGACTTTACTGACGTGTCAGTGCATGTTCATCGACCAGCTGGCGGGGGACCGCGGCTATCTCGAGGCCGCCTGGTTCCTTACGGGGCTGGAGCCTCCCCCGTGTCGCGTGACCAGTCGTCACACGGAGCGCGAGGCCCAGACCCCGTTCTCACCCCTGGTGGATCCTCGCTGGCTGTCGGCGCAGGGCGAATACGTGAAGGAGCTGCAAGCATTTCGGGCGCGTCTCGACGCCGAGCGCGCCGTCGCGCTCCCCAAGCATCCACCTCATCAGCCCAAGCAGCCCAAGGTTTCGAAGCCCCCCGTCAAGTCCCAGGGTGCGTCCAAGGCACCGAAGGCGGTGCCCAAGAAGGACTGAGGGCGCCTTTGGCGCCCGCCTCCTGGAAGGGTGGGCCTTCGCGGGGCCGGGGTACGCCGCCGCACACAGTCTGCACCGACGCTGTTGCGGCTGCTAGGCGCGTTTGGGCTCAGCGAGGGCGTGAGGGTAGGAATGCGCTCTTCCAGCGATGCTGTTGCGGCCCCGCAGGGAGGAGTACGTTCCGCCACCACGCCCTTCGCTCTGCTCCGAACCGCTTCTCGGATCCCTTCGGCCATTTTGGCCGGCGCCTGCCTCAGTCGTGCGCGCCCTCCAGGGGGCCTGCAGCTCCTGAGGTTGGTGTCCCTGCTGGTGCCTGTTCTCCTTCAAGCACCCCTGCTGCACTTGCCAAAGTCGCGCCATTCGTCGCTGACTTGTCTGCCTTGCTGCGCCTGTTTCCAGGCGCGAACATTGATATCACCCACTGGGCGGCAGCGCTGTCCCAGGTTGGGATGGGTGCTCGATGTTCTCTTGGATCTTTCTCCCGCTCATCTATGCGTGCAATGGACAGGGACGACCCGTACCTTTTGGGGCCGCCTCCCCGCGATCCTTGGCCGTGCCCGCCTGCTCCACCTCTTGGTCCCCCGCCTGACGGCTTGTCGGCGAGGCGCAGGGAGCGCTGGAGATTGCGGCGCGCGGCGCGGACGCTCGCGCAGTATTCTGTTATTGCGTTGAATTGGCTCACCTTGGGTCATCCTAGCCTCGCTCCCGCCGAGGCTCGCGTCCGCGCCACGGTCTCGCCCTGCCAGGAGGGCGTCCGCACCCGTATCGAACGGTTGTGTCGGATCGCAGTTCGCCTCGCCCGTGGCGGCAAGAGCGACTTAGGTCGAGCCTTCGCCAAGTTCGACTCCACTGAGGTCTCGCTCCATGGCCTGGCCACCCATGTTGCAGCTTTGGAGGCCTCCTTCACTTCCTCTTCTTCCGTACCCGCCCCCATGCGGCACTGCCCGACCAGCGCTCCTTCTGTGCCTGGTTCGTTGGCGGCTGCGGCGGCTTGGGACTCCACCCAGGCCGAGCCCTTCGATTTGAAAGTCAGGGCGTCTCGCATCAAGTGGGATTATTCGCCAGAGTTTGATCCCGTTCCCTTCCTCTCCGACGCTCGAGTCCGCGAAGCTTTCATCGATCCAGAGGTGATGCGGCTACCGGCATCAGAGTGGCCTGCTGGCCAGAAGGGAGCGCGCGTCCATATGGACCGCGCCGAGCTGTGGGCCCTACTCCAGAAGTGGGATGCCTGTGGCGCCCTGTACCTGACTCCTGCTTCGGACCTCGCCTGGGATGAAGCCTGTGGAGCTTTCAGGGTACCGAAGGACAGCGATTTCGACAGGCTGATCCTGAACCCCACGGTCGTGAACAGCCGCTGTGCTTCAATTTCGTCCAGCACCCAGCGCCTTGGCCAAGGTTTCCTGCTGTGCCGTTTGGGGCTGGCACCTGGGGAATGGCTGGCAGTTTCTTGTGACGACCTACGGGAGTTTTACTACACTTTCCGCGTCCCTCCCGCGCGCGCCAGACGTAACGCCCTGCGCGTTCGTCTGCCATCATCTCGCTTCAAGGCCTTTCGAGCCTGGCGCCCCGAGCTTGAAGGTGTGGATGTCGCGCCCTGCCTCAATGCTCTGGCGATGGGCGACAACATGGCTGTGGAGATTGCCAACTCTGCGCATGAAGGCGTCTTGCACAGCTTCGGGGCTTTGCGGCCTCACGAGCAGGTTGTCCACCGCTCGCCCTTCCCGCGGGGCCCGTTTGTCGAGATGCTGAATATTGATGACCATACAGGTTTTCAGAAGCTCTCGTGGCGTGGCTCCGCTCCTCGCCCCGACGACCCGTGTCGCCGTGATCGTGAGGTCTTTGCCGCCTGTGAT